ACGGTGGGGGGGTGGGGGGGAGCAGCCGGGCACCCAGGGACGGTGGGGGGGGAGCAGCCGGGCACCCAGGGACGGTGGGGGGGTGGGGAGCAGCCGGGCACCCAGGGACGGTGGGGGGGGAGAGCAGCCGGGCACCCAGGGACGGTGGGAGGGTGGGGGGGGAGCAGCCGGGCACCCAGGGACAGTGGGGGGGGTGGGGGAGAGCAGCCGGGCACCCAGGGACGGTGGGGGGGAGCAGCCGGGCACCCAGGGACGGTGGGGGGTGGGGGGAGCAGCCGGGCACCCAGGACGCTGTCCTCCTCAGTCGACAGGCTGAATGGAAACCCAGTCCATAACACCCAGGGTGACATCCGGAAAGGGCCTGGGACCAGGGCGGGCCCCAGACTCCCAGCCGTTCAGGGCAGGGGCGTGGGGCCCCACGCGAGGCCTCGGCTGGACTGCCAGGACCCAGCAGACACAAGCCAGCCCTCACTGCTTCCAGCCCTGCTGCCGTGTTCCTCGCCGGGCGCTGCGTCCCGCAGGGCTGTGACCCCCTGAACCCTGAGAGCAGGACCCAGGACCAGGGGTGAGCACCTCCCCCATACCTCCTTTCCAGCTCAGCCGCTTGTCCCCAGAAGGGCCACCCTCCACCCCATCCACACAGTCAGGACACGGCCCCGGCTGCCACGCCCTCCGCCAGGACCAGAGGGAGGCCACCGAGGGCGGCCACCGCAGCCGTGGCTTGTTTCAAAGACAGGCCTCGGTGCCAGGGATCCCAGCCGGTGGGGACCCCGACCAACTCCAGGCCTAGGCTTGCGCCCCACGCCCTGCCTGTGTGTGCGGTGTGCCGTGTGCAGAGTCCCGGCCCGCGGCAGGAGGAGTGGAAGGAAATCACCCACCCAGACGGGGGCCTGGGGCGTTCTGGTGCGAAGGCCTTGCACAGGGCTCTGCGTGCCACACAGAGGGACGAGGCAGGGGCCACCTGCCCGGCCTGCGGCCCCCAGGGAGCAAGGACACACCACCTGCAACAGCACAGCACAAAACAACACGCCGAAGTTGGGCGCCGGTCACTCAGGAGGCTGAGGTCTGAGGACCGCGGTTCAAAGCCAGCCCGGGCAGGAACGTCCGTGAGACTCTGATCTCCAATGAACCACCAGAAAACCAGAAGTGGCGCTATGGCTCAAGTGGTAGAGCGCTCGCCTTGAGCTGAGGGACAGCGCCCAGGAGCAGAGTTCAAGCCCCACAACTCTCACACACACACACTTACACCCCAATATTCCAACCAACACAGGAACAGACTCAGCCCCTTATGGTGCAGACCTCGTGGCGGGGGGGGGGGGGGGGGGGAGACCCGGCCAAGCACGCGCAGGGCACCGTGGGGCTGAGGGCCCTGAGGACCACGCCCAACCTTGTCTCACCCACTGGAAGGAAGGGCTGGGGGGACTGAGGCATGGGGGGGACGGGAGGGGGGGCAGGCATGCTCCCCGGGGAGGAAGCATGGCCACCACCTCATTCCCGGCCTCCACTGCGGTTCTCAGCCCAGTACGTGGGCCTGGGCCTTCACACGCATGTGCGTCCGCGCGCACGCATGTGCGTGGGAGGCTGCCTCTCGGGAGGCTCTTCGTGTGCGAGCTGTGAACAAGCTGGGACCCAGAGGGCACAGACCAGACCTGACCTGGGCTGGGCCAGGAATCGAGGTGCACCGCCATGGGATGGGGGACGCGAGGACCCATCGATCTGTGTCCACACACGCACACCCATGCACGCGCAGACACACGGGCCCACACCGGAGCCGGGGGGCGCCACAGACAGGTCTGCACACCACAGGCCTCGAGCGTGTGTCCAAAGTCCAGGGCTGACGGAGCGGTGGAGAGCTTCCTTCTAGAACAGTTCTGCGGGCCCCCAATACCCCGGCTCAGCACAGGCCTGAGCCCCGCGCCGCGCCGGCCCGGCAGAGATATTGGCCTTGGCACGCGGGCCGGGCGAGGTGGCACGCAGCCACAGCCGCAGCCTCGCGTGACTTTTTCCACATCTGCAGAACGTTCCCAGAATCCTCCGCTCGCCGGGGCCGGGGGCTGGGCCCCCGTGGGGCCCCCAGAGCCTGCGGTTTGGGCTCACAACTCAGCCCTCTGGGCTGAGGCCCAGTGGCTGCTGAAAGACACGTGACAAGAGTGCCACCTGGTGACCCGCGGCTGGCTGAGGGCGCTGTCCCCCACAGAGCCCGCGGCCGGGCCCCACAGAGCCCGCGGCTGGACTCCGCGGCCGGACCCCACAGAGCCCGCGGCCAGACCCCACAGAGCCCGCGGCCGGACCCCACAGAGCCCGCGGCCGGACCCCACAGAGCCCGCGGCCGGGCCCCACAGAGCCCACAGCCAGACCCCATAGAGCCTGCAGTCAGACCCCACAGAGCCCGCGGCCAGACCCCACAGAGCCCAGGGCCGGTCCCGCGGCCGGACCCCATAGAGCCCACGGCCAGACCCCACAGCCGGACCCCACAGAGCCCGCGGCCGGACCCCACAGAGCCCGCGGCCGGGCCCCACAGAGCCTGCAGTCAGAGCCCGCGGCCGGACCCCACAGAGCCCGCGGCCGGACCCCACAGAGCCCACGGCCAGACCCCACAGAGCCCAGGGCCGGTCCCGCGGCCGGACCCCATAGAGCCCACGGCCAGACCCCACAGCCGGACCCCACAGAGCCCGCGGCCGGACCCCACAGAGCCCGCGGCCAGACCCCACAGCCGGACCCCACAGAGCCTGCAGTCAGACCCCACAGAGCCCGTGGCCGGACCCCACAGAGCCCACGGCCAGACCCCACAGAGCCCAGGGCCGGTCCCGCGGCCGGACCCCATAGAGCCCACGGCCAGACCCCACAGCCGGACCCCACAGAGCCCGCGGTCAGACCCCGCAGAGCCCAGGGCCGGTCCCGCGGCCGGACCCCTCGGCCGCCTCGCTCCGCATCCCCACGCCGTGAGGTATCACAGAAACAGCCAGGTGAGGCAGAGCCGTGCAGCGGCCCTGTGGCGGCAGACGCCAGTCAGCAAGCTGGGGGAGACGCGGGAGGAAGCGGGAGGCAGTGCCTACTGGAGTTCACCTCTAACCGGGACGTTCCGGAATGCTCAGATCGTCTGAGTACTGTTCAGAAAGCCTATTTCCAGGTGTAGAGGGGAGAGGGTGCTACAGAAACATGAGACCCACCACCACAAACACAGTCACGGACAGGATTGTGGTGACATGGGAATAGAGAGAAAGATGCAGGCTGAATAACTCCAAATACATTGCAACTGTAAGAAGACCGTATAAACTTCCAACGGCCGGTGCCAGAGGCTCACGCCTGTCATCCCAGCTACTCAGGAGGCTGAGATCTGAGAAAAGCAGTTCAAAGCCAGCCCAGGCAGGAACCACCAGAAAACTGGAAGTGGCGCTGGGGCTCAAAGTGGTAGAGCGCTCGCCTTGAGTGAAAAGGCTCAGGGACAGCGCCCAGGCCCTGAGTTCAAGCCCCACAACTGACCAAAAAAAAATCCCAACAGAAGCTGCGGATTAGTAGAGGATCAAGGAGAGAGTTGTTCTGAGTAAAATGTAACACTGTCACATCTGAAATACCAGCGAACAATGCATGGAGAGCAGACTCCCCTGAGGGGGCGCGGGTGGTGGGCAGCAGGGCGGGGCGTGGGTGGACAGCGGGGGTGGGGAAGGGGGTGGGCAGCAGGGCGGGGCGTGGGTGGACAGCGGGGGTGGGGAAGGGGGAAGGGGGTGGGCAGCGGGGCGGGCAGGGGGCAGGAAGGGGGTCGATGGAGGGACAGGTACACAAACCCAGCTGATCGGCTCATCTGCACGTATGAAAATGAACCAGCCAGGAAACCTGCGGCTCATGTCTTAAGGAGTGGGAGGTGGGGAGGGCCAGTGGTGTCGGGGTGAGCCCGCCATGCACACTGCGGGTGGGTGTGCAAATGCTGCCGAGAAACCTGCCCTTGTATCACAAGTGCATGCCAACACGTGAACGTTTGAACAAGGTCTCCACCCCGTGGTTGAGGGCGAGGTGCTGGGGGCCCGGAGGGCACTGGAAGGAGCCAGGGGTGCTGCCCATGCGGGCGAGGGCCCTGCAGGGGTCCGGGGGGCGTCCGGCCAGCACACTGCCTGCCGGCCTGTGCTGCGGTTTCAAGAGTGGTCACCAGATGGCGCTCAGACTCCAGAGATTCCAGGGCCAGGCAGAGCCGGGAGGAAGGCCGCCGCAGGGGACAGCGTGGCTTGGTCATTCTATCCCAGGCGGCCGAGGCCGGACGTCCAGATGCACAGGGGGTGGGGGGCACTGGATAAGATCCAACACCATCGCCACAACCAGGTCTCCACTGCAGGAGAGGCCTGGCCGACACCCCAGCCGGGTACGCGGTCCTCCGTGAAGGACGATCGGCGGGAGTCGCCGGGATTTGGGGATGTACCTCGTGGCCCTGGGGGGCCAGTAGAGTGGGGTACAGAGGCCTGCCCCCCAGGGGCTGCACCTGGCTTACAGCAAAGTTGGCCACAAATGCCGGCGGAGGACGGTGCCCAGGAAGGAGAGACGGGCCCAGGCCTCACCCCACTCGCCGGGAGACAGCTGGAACCACGACCCCCAGCCTCGCACTCACCAGCAGAAGCAACGGGGAAAGACTAAGGAAACGCGGGGAGCAGGGCGGGTCGCCCCAGAAACCGAGGCCCCGGCCTGACACCTCGGCTCGGAGGACACAGGTGACCACCAGGCTGCCCGCGCCCGCCGCCCGCGCTGGCCGCGCGGTGAGGAACGGAGGAGGCCGCTGCGGGGCCTCTGCGGGCCTCAGCCATGTCCGCGCTGTGGGGTGACAGCTCTGAGGGGGCAGAAACGCCCTCCCATCCGCGCCCCGGCCCGGCACGCGCACGGCCTCCGAGCCCGGCGGCTGCGGAGTTCTGAGGGGTGGGGGGGATGCGTGGGGCGGGCCCTGGTGCAGGGCAGGGGTTCGGCTCCCCCCAGGGCGCCCACCTCCTCCCCCTGCTTCCCGGGCAAGGACTACGCACCATCCAGAAGAGGGTCCCGGTGGCCAGGGCGGCGTACTGCTCGATGGTGGACAGCACACTGAAGATGAGGCACACCAGCACGATGAGAAAGCTGCAAGGCGGGGGGGGGGGGGGTGTCAGCGGCGCGGGCAGCCCGGGGAGCAGCTGAGGGCGCCCGCGCACCCCACACACCCACCCCACGCGCCACAGGAGCGCAGGGGCCGGGGCAGCGGGGACGGCCGCGGCTGGACCACCAAGGCAGGCGCGGAGCTAGCCCTCCCCCGGCGAGGGGGGGTGGGGGCACACTGCGGCCTGAGCCCTGGTCCCCAGGGACAGGTCGGGGGAGCCTGCCATGGCTTCAGGGACCCCTCGAGATGCCGGGGGCGCACGCCCAGCAGCTCTCCCCATCCTGGGGATTTTAGTCTGCGCTCACTCTGCACACCTGCCCTCGAGCGGCCGGGACCCCAGAGACCCCAGGCTGCCCCTCCCGGGCTGACCTCCCCGCAGTGCAACAGCCCAGCCCACCTCCCCGGACCGGACCGGGGAGAGGCCGGCTGCCACGGCCAGGCACGACGGATCGCCACGGGACTGCGGGAAGATCAAGCCCTACCTGAACCCCACGCAGCCCCCGCCCCCAGCTGCCTCCACCTCCCCTGCCAGCTGCCCCCTGCCACGGCCTCCTAGCCACACCCTCTCCTGCACGCACACGCACAAGCCACGCACACGTCATCAGCTCCGTGACAGGTGTCCATGACGGGTGTGGCGTGGCCCCCAGCGTGCCCCGCGTGGCCTCCTGGCCCCAGCCCTGCTCCGGCCGGTCCTGCGGGGCCACTGAGCAGCTGGCCTGACAGCGCTCGCCCCCAAGAGCCCGGGGAGCCACAGCACCCTGACTCCCGGCTACAGACGGGCGGTGGTTGTGCCCCCTGCCCTATGTCTGGGGACTGGAGGGGGGTTGGGCTAGCAGGCTTGGCAGGGGACAGGGCAGCCCCACCTCCCCAGGAGAAGGGGGGCGTTAGGGGCACAGACAGAATGGGACACAGAACTCAGACGGGAGGCAGCCGGGCCGGGCTGGGCCGAGGGTGTGGGGGAGCCCAGGCCAGGCCCACGGGAGACGCCCACCCTCTGCTCCCGCTTTGAGTCCAGCCCGCCAATCGCTTCTCCAAATATGTGAGTACCGCGCTGGCTGCTGGCCGGAGCGGGAGCTCTGCGGCCCCGCGTCTGGGTCGCATCTCCCACGGGTTAAATGGGTTTTATCTTATTTGCCCCTTTATCTGTTTCTGCTCTGAGCAGCGCTGGGAATCTCAGGTTGGCCGCGCCGGGCAGAGCCCTGCCCTTGGGGAGCTCAGGACCAAGCAGCCCTGCACCCCACACCCCGGGCTGCACGCGCGTGCGCATGCACACACACACGCACGCACGCACGCACATGCACACACACACACACACACGTCCACGCAGGGCCCAGCTCCGCGTCCGGGCACCCCAAGGTCAGGCAGACACAGAATATCCCCCGAGGAACTGGGAAACTGAGGCCCAGAGGAAGAAAGAAATGGCCCCATGTTCTAGAAAGGCCGGAAGAGGCCGGACAGGCAGGATAGGAGACGGGGACAAAAGGTACCCCTAAAAGGACAGTGTCCTTGATGACCGCCTGGCCAGTCGCTGGGCGCCCTGGCCCTGGGCACAATGGCCCGCCTGTTCCCAGCACGGCAGCGTGACCCGGGCCGGGCGTGGGGACACCTGCGCTTATCGGACATCGCTGGTTCCGCTATCTCCGTGGCCAGGTGCCCTGGGAACCGGGAAGAATGCGGGCACCCAGCCAGGGCTGCGGTCCAGGCCTCCGGGGGTGGCACCGGGCAGAGTTGCCAGGCCGGGTCAGCGCCGGCTGGCTGGGCCTGCGGCGTGAGGCGGGGGCTGGGAGGCCGCTGGAGACCCCCACACACCCGCATCTGCTTGGCACCTCTAGAGGTTCCACTCGGGCGCCCTCAGACCCCACACACCAGACCTCAGAGGCCCCAGCGCCCATGGCCAGGCCCCCACGCTAGCCAACAGAGCGCCGGGCATTTCAGAGGGCACCACCGGGTCTGCATGCCCCGGCTATTAGAAACAAAGAACACAAGCCGGGCTGGGCGCCGGTGGCTCACGCCTGTCAATCCCAGCTACTCAGGAGGCTGAGATCTGAGGATCAAGGTTCAAAGCCAGCCCGGGCAGGAAAGTCCATGAGATTCTTATATCCAATTAATTACCCAAAAGCCAGAGGTGGAGCCGTGGTTCTGGTGGTAGAGTGGGGAGGGGGGGTGGGGGGAAGGCGGGAACTTGTGCTGGACGGGGATAGAGTTTGCGTGTGGGAGGAAGGAAAGGTCCTGGAAGCGGAGAGGGGTGGGCCCCGGCAGGGTGAGCGCGGTCAGTGTGCTGGACGCTTTGGCCCACATATGACAGGTGAGGTCCCGGGTAGCTGGCAAAGGAGAGGAACGCGGCCCGCGGCTGGCACGGTGGGCTCCAGCTGCCCGAAGGCGCCCGCCCTGGCTGCGCCAGAGCCCAGAGCCGGAGCGTGCAGAGCCCCGCGGGGGACAGCCGGCGGCCTGTTAGCTAAGCGGCACGGGGGACGCGCTGGGCTTCGGGTGCGTGGCCCCCACGGATCAGGGGAAGACGCTTAGACCTCGGGCTTCATCTGGGAGCTCTTCAGTGTTCCAGGAAAGGTCACTCTGGAAGATTCTGCAATGTCCCCTGACAAATGCCCTCCTTACCTTCCCCCCCACTCACTGAGCCCGGCCCACACTGCCCAGCCCGCAGGACGCTGGGCCCCCAGCCTGCCAGGCGGGCCAGGAATCAAGATATCTGGCAAGCCCAGGGGCTGCTCCCCTCCTCCCCCCGCCCTCCCCCTCTGTTCCTCCCTGGACCTCGCTCCTGAGGACTCCCGTCAGTCCCAGATGGCCCTCCTATTAGGGACTTGAATGACAGAAGCCCTTTCTTTGCAAGGCCCCAGTGACACCCAGGGACCCCAGCTGGCTCACGCGGTACTGCAGGCGCCTCGTGAACTACCTCCGAGGGCACCACAGGGCCTGAGACTCAGGATGGAGAATCGGGTGGGGCCTCGGGTAGGCATCTCCCCCACCCCAACAAGGGGCCTGGGAAGCGCACGCCCCCCCCCACACACACGCCACACACACACACGCCACACACACGCCACACACACACGCCACACACACACGCCACACACACACGCCACACACACACGCCACACACACACACGCCACATACACACACGCCACACACACACGCCACACACACACGCCACACACACACGCCACACACACGCCACACACACACACCACACACACACGACACACACACACATGACACACGCCACACACACACATGGCACACATACACGACGCACACACATGACACACACACACACAGACACACACATGGCACACACACAGACACACAGACACATACACACGCCACACACACACACCACATACACACGCCACACACACACACGCCACACACACACACACACGCCACACACACGCCACACACACACGCCACACACACACACGCCACACACACACACGCCACACACAGACACACACGCCACACACACACGACACACACACATGACACACACACGACACACACGACACACGTCACACACACGCACACACGTCACACACACACACGCACACACACATGCCACACACACACACGTCACACACACACACACGCACACACACACACACACACACACACACACACACGGCGCCCGGTTAAAGAATCAAATGCCTGGCGATGCAGAAACTCCTCTGAGCATCACCCCATCACACCACAAATTAACCAAAACCACACCAGACAAAACCTCCCCGGGGGCCCCACCTTGTCCTGAGCTGCACTTGAACCACAACGCGGTCTTCAGGCACCTTCGGACCTGAATTTTGCATAAATCTCTGCCTCCCACAAAGCAAAGGGCACCTCACGACCCAAGGTCGGGGTTTCTACCCGAGCCAGAGGACACCCCGTGTGCTGAACTGACAAGGCAAGAAGCTGTGGGCAGTGTGGAAAGAAAAAGGGAGAGGGGAAAGGAAGAGGGAGAGGGAGAGGGAGGGAGAGGGGGAGAGGGGGAGGAGGGGGAGAGGGGGAGGAGGGGGAGAGGGGGAGAGGGGGGAGAGGGGGGAGAGGGGGGAGAGGGGGGAGAGGGGGGAGAGGGGGGAGAGGGGGGAGAGGGGGGAGAGGGGGGAGAGGGGGGAGAGGGGGGAGAGGGGGAGAGGGGGGAGAGGGGGCAGAGAGGGGAGAGGGGGGAAGAAGACAGAATCTACAATACCACCCTGCTCCGTGCATCTGAGCGTGCTCCAGCTCTCCTCAGTGGGGGACTCCTTGGAACAGCACACCACCCACACTGGGATCTGGTGGCTCAGAGGACTCCCTCCCCTCCCCCCTCCCCTCTTCTCCTCTTCTGTCCCCTCCCTTCCCTTCCCTTCCCCTCCCTCCCCTCCCCTCCCCTTCTTCCCATCCCCAGATGCTGAACAATCCTCTTTTTTGTTGTTGTTGTCGGTCATGGGGCTTGAACTCTGGGCCTGGGCGCTGTCCCTCAGCTCTTCAGCTCAAGGAGAGCACTCTACCAGTTGAGGCACAGCGCCACTTCCCGGTTTCTGGTGGTTTACTGGAGATCAGAGTCTCATGGACTTTCCTGCCCGGGCTGGCTTTGAACCTCAATTCTAAGATCTCACCCTCCTGAGTAGCTGGGATGACAGGTGTGAGCCACCGGCGCCCAGTTTGAACAATTCTCTTCTAAAGTAAGCCCATATCTGGAATGTGGCCCCCATTTGGCCCCCGTCATGCTGGGTGGAGGGGAGCCGGCGGGGTAGCAGCTGGGGTGCCCACGTTCAGGCCCCCACAGGCCCGGCGGGGCACAGGCCCGTATCAGCACATCTCCTGCCTGACTACCAGAGCCGCTGCCCCTGGCCCTGTGGCCACCATGGACATAGCCACGGCCACCGCCACGGCCACCACCACAGCCACCACCATGCACACCGCCACAGCCACCGCCATGGCCACTGCCCCGGCCACCGCCACACACACCACCACGGACACTGCCACGGCCACCGCCACGCACAC